ATAGGCTCCAAAGGTTACATATTATTCTTTTTTTTATGTTATGTTCGAATGTATGTGTTTTTTTCTGATCGGTTCACTTCTAATTCATCAAGAGATTATGTTTTTTTAGTTCGAATACATAACATTTTTTTCCTTGTGGAGCATAGTAACGATCCATATATATATTCGAAATAATAAATATAAAAAATAAATAAGTCTATAATTTACATGAGAAAGGAGGGGTCTCACTGGAGTTGGGGCTGACGGTTAGGTCATAGGGAAGGAGGCTGAATAGATTAAACGTTCTAGGGTTCTTGCATGTAGGGTCGGCCCTGAGCCCAGGCGGGGAGTGCGACCGCCTAGGGCCCAGGTTTGGAGGAACCCATTCTTAAAAATAATAATAATTTTATAATTTTTAAGTTTTAATAATTAAAAAATATTTTTACATAATTTAACGAATAATTATATAGTTAATCTAATAATAAAAATAGATAAATGTAAGCACCATTTTTCTTATTTTATTCAACAGCCCATGACCCCACGTGAAGCACTTTCCCATTGCACATGCTACAACAACTCAGCTCCCACTTGAAGTCAAGCAACCCATACCTCCACCATTCCCATAATCCCACTCAAATTTTTACCTAACCCACTAAGGATTATAAAAAATAAATCTCAAAAAGTGGGGATTTCTTCACCAAATCAGAGAAAAAATGGAATCCTACTCATTAGACTTTATCATCTTACCTAAGGAGAATAAATAAAAGGAGCATAACAACGAGAGGTGGGAGGAGTCGAACGGGAAGAGAAAAAACATATTGAAACAAGAGAAAAATCTTAGCAAAAATACATTGTAAACGCTCATATTCAAGAAATAGTAGGCTCCAAAGGTTACATATTATTCTTTTTTTTTGTTATGTTCGAATGTATGTGTTTTTTTTCTGATCGGTTCACTTCTAATTCATCAAGAGATTATGTTTTTTTAGTTTAAATACATAATATTTTTTCCTTGTGGAGAATAGTAACGATCCATAAATATATTCGAAATAATAAATATAAAAAATAAATAAGTCTATAATTTACCTGAGAAAGGAGGGGTCTCACTGGAGTTGGGGCCGACGGTTAGGTCATAGGGAAAAAGGCTGAATAGCTTAAACATTCTAGGGTTCTTGCATGCAGGGCCGACCCTGAGCCCAGGCGGGGAGTGCGACCGCCTAGGGCCCAGATTTGGAGGAACCCATTCTTAAAAATAATAATAATTTTATAATTTTTAAGTTTTAATAATTAAAAAATATTTTTACATAATTTAACGAATAATTATATAGTTAATCTAATAATAAAAATAGATAAATGTAAGCACCTTTTTTCTTATTTTATTCAACAACCCATGACCCCACGTGAAACACTTTCCCATTACACATGCTACAACAACTTAGCTCCCACTTGAAGCCAAGCATCCCATACCTCCACCATTTCCATAATCCCACTCAAATTTTTACCTAAACCACTAAGGTTTAAAAATAAATAAATCTTGAAAAGTGGGGATTTCTTCACCAAATCAGAGAAAAAATGGAATCGTACTCATTAGACCTTATCATTTTACCTAAGGAGAATAAATAAAAGGAGCATAACAACGAGATGTGGGAGGAGTCGAACGGGAAGATAAAAAACAGATTGAAACAAGGGAAAATCTTAGCAAAAATACATTGTAAACGCTCATATTCAAGAAATAGCAGACTCAAAATGTTACATATTATTCTTTTTTTTTATTCTGTTCGAATGTATGTGTTTTTTTCTGATTGGTTTACTTCTATTTCATCGAGAGATTATGTTTTTTTAGTTCGAATACATAACATTTTTTCCTTGTCGAGCATAGTAACGATTCATACATATATTCAAAATAATAAATATAAAAAATAAATAAGCCTATAATTTACTTGAGAAAGGAGGGGTCTCACCGGAGTTGGGGCTGACGATTAGGTCATAGGGAAGGAGGCTGAATAGCTTAAACGTTCTAGGGTTCTTGCATTTTGGTTTTATACATAGATCTAGGTTTTGAGAGGTAGGTTCGGCGGTTTTGGGGGTGAGTAGAGTCTGCTCCGTCGTCGAGGGTTGTCAGAGTGCAAGGTATTCGAAGGGTCGGGTCATTTTCGGGTTAGATTCAATATTAGTTTTAGGGTTTTGGATGTAGTCATCAGCCTATTTATTTCTATTTTATTTCAAATTAAACTTCAAGTTTTAGTTTATTTTATTCCAACCCTTGTATCTTTAATATACTTTTTGATGTTTTTATTTTGGTGTTCATGTTAGAACTAATATTTATGTCAACAGTGTCAAATATCAAATTGAGAATTTGGGATTTTATCTTACTCCAATGGGTTACAATTCTAATTGAAGAATCTAGGTGCAATTGTTCTTTTCTTATACTTATTTATTAGAATTGGTTTGTGTTTGAATCTTTGATGAGATGTTGCCTAAAAAACATTTTTCTGGAAGTGAAAAAAGGAAAACAAGGAAGCTAGAGTAGGAGTTAAAGAATTCACAAAAAGGTGCTCTTGATAAATTTGTGTTTAAAAAGGCTGATTATCATGAAACTTTGAATCAATCAACTGAAAATTTGCATACTGAAAATCCTGGAAATTCTGAAAATGTGAATGATGAGGTGAATGATCCAATTGACTTTAATGATGTGTCAATTGGTGAAAATGTTGAAAATTTAGACATTGGTGAAGAAACACTTCCTCATTCGAATATATATGATCCTATAAATTGGGAGAATCTTGACAATAATGCGAGGGATATATTAGTTGAAAAAGGTCCTATAAGAGAAATGGATCTTGAATTTCCTATTGATAAATATTATAAACATTTCTCATATGATTGTTATTCTAGAAAGTTGAGCAATGGTGAGACTAGTGATAGAAAATGGTTAGTTTATTCCAAAAATGTTGACAAAGTATATTGTTTTTGTTGCAAGTTGTTCAAATCGATTAGTAATGTAAGTTTGTTAGCAAATGATGGCTTAAGTGATTGGAAACATATTAGCCAAAGGCTTAAATAACATGAAAAATAGTGTTGAACATATGACTAATATGAATACTTGGAATGAATTGAGAGTAAGATTGGATAAAAATCAAACAATCGATAAAAATTTGCAAGAAGAGATTATGAAAGAGAAAGAGCGTTGGAGACAAGTGTTACAAAGAATATTCTCAGTTGTGAAATGTATTGCTAAACATAATCTTGCATTTCTAGGATCCAATGAAAAACTATATCAAGATAACAATGGTAATTTTCTGGTATTGATTGAAATGATTACAGAGTTTGATGTGATTATGCAAGATCATGTTAGACGCATTCTGGATCGTGAAATTCATTATCATTAACTTGGACATAAAATTCAAAATGAGTTCATTTCCCTTTTGTCTCAAAGTGTGAGAAATTCTATCATTAAGATCATTAAAGAGGCTAATTTCCATAATTCTTGATTGTACGCCTGATGTCAGCCATCAAGAACAAATGACCCTCATAGTTCGATGTGTTAATATATTAAATAACAAAGTTAAAATTGAGGGTTTCTTTTTGGAGTTTCTAAAAGTGGATGATACATCTGGATTAGGACTCTTTAATGAACTACAAAGTGTTCAAAAAAGATTTCTTGAAATTAATCCAAAAGCATTATACATGCCTTGTGCTTGTCGTAGTCTAAATCTTACTCTTGGTGATATGACACATTCTTGTGTTAAAGCTATTTCTTTTTTTTTTTGGAGTTGTTCAACGCATATATGCATTGTTTTCGGATTCTACAAAGAGATGAAAAATTTTACTTGATAATGTTCCTGTATTAACTGTGAAATATTTATCAAATACTCGATGGGAGAGTCGAATTAAAAGTGTCAAAGCTATTAGATTTCAATGTCCCCAAATAAGATTGGCTTTGTGTGAATTATATGAATCTTGTGAAAATGGTGCAAAGTCAAAAAGTGAAGCTGAAAGTTTGGTGAATGCACTCTCAAGTTTTGAGTTTTTGCTTGGTGTTGTCATTTGGTATGACATTTTATTTGTTGTTAATATGGTAAGAAATAAATTACAATCTAAGTCTATGTGCATTGATACTACCATAAGGCAATTAGAAGGTGTGATGTCCTACTTTGAAAAATATAGAGATAAAGGCTTTACAACTAGTATGAATGTAGCTAAAAGTCTTGCACTTGAAATGGATGTGGAGCCTATCTTTCCCACAAAACGTCGTGTGATTAGGAATAAATTTTTTGGAGAGAATAATGAGGATAACGAAGTTGAATCGCCTGAAGAGTCATTTAGAGTCAATTTTTTGTTGTTTTAGTAGATATGACAATTACTTCTTTGAAGAATAGATTTTAGCAATTGAAGACATTTGGAAGTATTTTTGGATTTTTATATGATTCAAATAAGTTAAAGTCATTAGACGATAATGAGTTGAAAGAATGTTGTGCTCATTTTCATTCTACATTTTCTCATGGCAATTCATCGGATGTTGACTTAGATGATCTTTTCTCTAAATTGAAAGTCTTACAAATGACTTTGCCGACAGAATTGTTATCCTCCACTGAAATTCTTAAGTTTGTCAAATCTGCAGATTGTTATCCGAATGCTTCAATTTCTTATAGGATTTTATTAACTGTGCATGTGACCGTAAGTTTGTCAAATCTGCAGATTGTTATCCGAATGCTTCAATTGCTTATAGGATTTTATTAACTGTGCCTTTGACCGTAGCTTCAGCCGAAATAAGTTTCTCAAAGCTTAAATTAATAAAAACGTACTTGAGGCCATCAATGTCACAAGACTATAAGAATGAGAAAACAGAAATGAAACTATTTGGAAACATTTCAGGATTGTATTTGTATGTATTATACATAATTTCTTTATTCAATATAGACAATGGATGCTTATAAATGACCAAAACTGAAGTTCTTGTGGTAACATATAGAGAATGATCAATCAAATAGATAAAAGAAAACGAATCCCAGATATGAACCAACCTGAGACATTTCAAACTTCTGTAAGGTGTAAGTCCATGAGAACGGGTCATCCACATGATTGCTAGGGGAAGACTTGATATGGCCCAAGCGAAATCTCACAGATTTTGCTGAGATGGCTGGATCAAATACGAATTTAATAATAACATTTGCAAGCTAAGATAAAATCAGTTTGATGAAAGATGGAAAACCAAGTTGCCAGAACATTAAAATAATTACCTTTATAAGGTCTTATCCCGATTTCCTTAATAAGATAAAAATTAGCAGCCAATTTATATGTCAACGTTTCAAGTACTGCAGGATTACTATCTCCTTTACTTGACCAATAAGAAGTTGAACTTTCCTCCAAAGTATTATTTATACTTTCCCTTGGAAAATTACCAGTGGTAGAAGCAATTATTGCTTCTGAGAGACAGTCCCAAACAGTAAGTAATGAACACTGTCGGGCTAGAAAGGCATAAACTCTATACTCCCTCTTCAAAGCTTTCCATTTCATAAAATTGCAGGATCCAGGTCCAATATGACCTTTTGTAGAGCCACATAGTTCATTGACATGATCAACTCTAGATAATTGAGGAAACATTCGCAGGGAAAGATGTTTACATAGACCATTTCTAATCACTACAAACCATTGAAAACTAATTCGTCAGCAATGACTGAAACTATCATGCAAAATAACCAAGGCCCAGCAGAACAAATCTTGACCACATGAATTACGACACTAGAGAACAACTCGCATATTTGTAGAATTTTCAATTTTGGGTTTTAGTTTTTCAGAACTTGAAAGTAAAATACACGACTGTTTTATACCAATTCCACATCAGAAGACAACAAGCCCAGATGAGACACAAAGCAGTTTTTATTAAGATCAGCAGTGGTCCTAGTGGAATAAAGAGATGTAGAAACAGGAGAAAGTATACATAGCAAAAGCATACAGCTAGTTAATCAATGGAAACGCCTTTTGGCATGAAACGGAAACGCCAGATATACAAAGACAGATAGCTGCACTGCAGTTGAATTAGGAAAACTAATTAAAAGAAGCAGAGCAGGTTGGAATCAGAAATTATAACGATATACAACTGAAAAGTGTATCAGCTCCAAATCGTACAGAAGCAACACATTTTGCAAAAATAATACATAAACCCAACAAAAAGCAGAGCCTGTCAGGCTCCATGACAATAATGTGTTCCATTGGTGTCAATTATTCCACAAGTCAATGAAATACCTGGAGGAACTCCTGATTCTTACTTGTCCACCATTGTCCTAGGAGGTTAACCCAGTCACTTCCTTTTGTTCCTTTCTCTTCTAACGATAATTAATCTCCTCTACTTTTTTGTCTAGGAAAAGGGGATAGGCTTGCATACGCTATAGTTTGAATCATGACTAACTCAGTGGCAAAGAAACACTATGCAAATTTCATTAGTTCCAGCTCTCTCAACTATGCAAATTTCATTAGTTCCAGCTCTCTCATTTTTTTGTAAACCATCTTACTTCAAAATTCACAAATTTCTTAGATAGATCAACATTAAACAAGAAAAAAGCAGGAAAATCAACCAATCAAATAACAAAACTAAACTGAATTCTCAACAACCAAACTACATTAATTCCAGATGGTGCTACGCTCCATTTGAGCTTTTCCAAAATGGAAAAGAAATTGTAATATTAAAGGAGGAAGAATATAAAAGAATTATCTAGCTCACCAAATTGTCGCCAAGAGTGGGAGATGGCAATGATTCGAACAAGGTCAGATGGATCGTGTAGAGACTTAAGTATCTTTATTGACAAGGCACAGGGTATGAAATTCAGAAAATCCTCACCGCTATTCATTTTTCTTTTTCGTTTTAAGTTCCTACTATGACATCATGCAGCTAAGCAGCCCAGAATTGCGTGCCCGCCTTTAGCACTTTAAAAGAAGGAAAAAAAAACAATGTTAGACAGTCAGGGTTCATGCACGAACTAATATGAATTATGATTCAGTACCAAATAATCCAATCAATTGAATTTAATTGCAGATTCAAGAAATTCTGTAAGGATTCGGTCAAATTTTGTTTTATGACCATGAAATTATAATCGGTATCTGATACATGAAACATATTCACAAGCAGCCAATTCTAAAGAGAACCACAATCAGCACTAGATGATACGATCAACTGAGTTAAATTGCAATTTAAAGAAGAGAAAATAACTTCAGTGACCGAAAATGCTTTATAATATACGATTTTAACCAACTTTTTTTGGATTTGCAAAAATAACCAACAAATTCGCAACGGGAACTCCTATTTCGCAATACAATTCACCTGTCATCATTCAAGAGGCCCCTCCCACAGTTCAAGAGGCCCCTGTTATCGTTCAAGAGGTCCCTCTCACCGTTCAAGAGCCCGATTCACATGGAATACTATGTCGACATATTGATAAACGTGCCTGATATGATGGATGAGAGTTGGCTTTCGTATGAGTTACCGGCCAGTACCATTCCTCAGCAGGAGAGGAGAACACTACCAGACACAATTATGGATAATACCCTTTGGGTTAAGACCGCACTTGATTTTTATCTACATGAGCGGAGCCAGGGGTGTTACGCTGACATATGCAAAATCGACGATAGTATGCATTTCTTTCTTGATCGGTCTTGGTGGGGTGTTTTATTAGGGGTTGAAGAGAATGGCTATTTCAAATGGGGGGTAAGTCTTATATTCTTTTTATATTGCATTTTGATTTTTTTTTTAAAATTTATTAAATTCACTAATATATGTATTTTTTTATCCACAACATATTGATGCATGGGTGTCACGTCTTCAGATTATAAGGAAATTGAAGAAAATAAAAAAGACGCGATGGACTATTATGCCTTCGTCTTTTCACGTAGCTCACTTGAAGGATCAGAGAGACGCTTCATATGCATTGGATAATAGAAAAGCTAAGCTTTATCCTGCGTGATGGGAGGTTGATAAGGTTAGTATTTATTTTTGAATATTCTAAAGGTGTTCATAAATTTTATTTGATGTACGCAATTGAATTATTATTTATGATTGCAGGTGTTTATCCCTATTATGGAACGTCGTCATTGGCTTCTCGTCGAGTTTTAGCTCCCATCCCTGAAGATGATATAATATGACAGCATGTTGAATTACATACCATTGTCTGATTTGAAAGATATTATTTGTAAGGGATGGAGCACTCATTTGGCTAAATACTTGGATGCGAATGATTATTGGACTAATTCTGGAAACAAGAAGCCAAAAAAGTTCAAAGTTTCAATGATGAAAGACAAGACAACACCACAACAAACGGCGTGAGCCAGAGGGGATTGTGGTCCTCTTGTATGCATGCGCTTGGAACGTTTGACAAAAGGAGGTAAACAGTTTCTACCTCCCATAGATAGAGATAGAGGTGCAGTAGGGTTGTGGTTTCATCATTTTATGGCTAGAGCGATATATTCGAGACGTTGCCTACCTGCATCCGCGTGCTGAAAGTGTGCATAAACAACCATTTGTTATTGGTAAGTTTGAGCAAGTGTTGTTAACATGTATACTCTTTGTCAGTTTGAAAAATGTTTGGTTAAGTACCTAGAATTCAGTAATTTGTTGTTTGTTGGTTTTAGATTTGTAGAAAGTGTTGTTTGAACAAATGTTTGGTTTATACAGGTTAATCCTGAAGTGAGCTGCGTGAAATTTACTGTTTGGGGCTAATTGTATCAATGTGCTGTTGATTTGTTTTTTTAGATGTGTAAATAAGAATTGTTTTTTGCTTGTTTAATTGATTTGTTAAAGTTGATTTGTTGTTTAAGAAAATTTCAATCTGCATTATGTTGAAGGCAAAAAAGACCTGTTGAAGGTACACTTTTGCAACCATTTTAGCTTTCGTAAAGAGCCTACCTTAATTCTTATCCTTAGAAAGCCAATTTTGAGCCTGAGCCTTTTTGTTTGAAATTAACCATGTTACAAGCAAATATCAAATCCTTTTTTGTTAATTTCCCCTCTTTTGAACCTTGAATTGGTGGATTGTATGAGCTTCTTCACATGGAAATTTCAAATTATCTTGAGAAGATAGGAAGATATTGGAATATAGTGATTCGAGTTGCAATCTCTTTCATTTGAAAAAAAAGAAAAAATTTGTGCAAAGGAAAGGAAGAAAGAGAGATTGTGCAATTAAAAAAAAGTTATGTGGCTTGAAGAGAACATTTGAGATTGAGTTCCATGTGGATAAGTTTGTATGACTTCTTCGATAAAACAACTCAAATTCATTTCCTATCAAACCTCACCTAAGCCCCATTACACCCTGTTTAAGACCCTGAGGTTTTTATGCATTCAATTCATTGATTAGTGGTGGGGATGTGATAGGTTAGCAAGCTTATGGTAAAAATCTTTCTATGTTTTGGCTTGAGAGTTTAATTACACCCTAAACACTTCAAGTGTATTGAGTGAATCCAATGCGAGGGTATTACATCCCACTGTATTTTGATTTCGAAAATATTAATAGAGTAATTATTCATGTCTGTTGGTTTATGAGAATTTCTTCTACGAATTGCTCGTTCCTTACTTGTGTCCAGATTTGAGTCTTTAAGGCATGATAATTTTGATTGTGGAAGGATGAGCAAAGGAAGAAGAAGGATTGACGTTGAAAAGAGTTGTGAATTTGAACTATTGTATGCTTGAGGACAAGCATTTGTTTAAGTGTGGGGGAATTTGATAAGATGCATATTAGCCATATATTCTATGATATTTTCCTTATATTTGAATAACTAAAATTGCTTAAATCATGTATTTTGATTATATTTCATATTTAGTGGATTAGGTTGAAGATTTGGATTAAACAAGTTCAAAATCTAATGATTAGTATGATCTTCACGAAATCCCCAATTAATGAGGAAAAATCAGAATTCAAGAAGTTGGCAAGACCAGAAGAGGTTTTCGCATAAGGCGTTGGCACGACTTATTCATCCTGAGCTATCGCAAAAGAAGTCTGCAATTAAGGCGTGGGAATGGTTTATTCATCCTGAGCTATCACAGAAGAAGTCTGCAGTTAAGGCGTGGGGACGTCTTACCAGCCCGTACAACCCTAAATTAGGTTTACAAATTTACAAGGAAAAATGAGTTTAATGACGGCTGAAAGACTATTGAATCATTCTTATCTTTAGAGAATGATAAGGATATTCAAAAATCCCTATTTTGGTGGGATTCACTTTTGAGAAAATTCATTATCTAGAATAGGGCAATCATTTTTAAAGGGGATCTAGGGTTTTTATAGGAGGCATTAAGTTTTAAGTTTTCTCTCTAGGATTATTTACAGACTTCATCTTTATTTTCGTTTGGTGTTTTTTCAATTATGAATAACTAAATACTTTTGTTCCAACTGAAGGATAATTGAAGTTTTGGTTCTTCAAGGATTGTGAGATCTAAATAATTTTCATTGTTCTTTTATTTCTTCACTATTTATATATCTTATGTTTTTATTAAGAAATATTGTCTTGATTGATTGTTGCAAAGGGCCCATTGTTAAATCATCATGTTGATAAATTGCCATTTAGAACTTTAAATCCGTAATTGTTTAAACGTTCTATAATATTATTGGTAAAGTAACATAGTTGATTTTTTATTATGTTATGAAGGTATATAATCTAGTCTAAATGAATCGAGCTTGTGTATTTGTTGGCTAGAATTGGTGGTCTCTCTATTAGTTAATGTTGTTGGTGGATTAAATCTTAAGGGGTTGTCTAGGGTTGTTCATTAACAAGGGAAATAATCAAAGAGCTTCTCTTGATTATCAAGAAACTAAGGAGAGGCAGGTTGTTAGAGCTTGTCAATAACCATAACCAATTTAGTGGAAAATAGAAAATTTTATTATTGTATCTATGATCAATTCTCTGAACCAATTCTGAAATTATATTTTTAGTTGGATATTTGCTTAATATTAATTTCTCTAAATTTTTGGTTGATTATAATTGTCTTTTCTTTTGATTTTTCTCTCAATTTCAAAACCCCTTTTGTTTGCTTTAATTTTCTTTAAAATAAGTCTACCCAATCCCTAGGGATTCGACATTGCTTATCACTACTACAATATAATATTTCTAAAAACAAGTATTATTATTTTTTTGATTCGACACCCACCATTACTTATAGCATTTCAGACTTTAGGCCTATTAGCTTATTTATCTCAATCTAAAAAATTGTGTCCAAGGTGTTATTTAAAAGGTTGAGTGCGGTCTTGGCCAAGGTTGTCAGCGAAACCAAAAGTGCGTTTATTAAAGGGAGGCAAATCTTTGACAACATTTGGATAGCGAGTGAAGTTTTACATACAATGGAAAATGAGGCGAGTAATAGGGGAGGCATAATATTGAAATTGGATTTTTCCAAGTCTTACGATTGTGTGACATGTGGCTTTTTACCGAGGATAATGGATCGCATGGGGTTTGGTAATAGATGGTGTAGGTGGATATTTGAATTTGTTTCATCGGCAAGGATCTCAATTCTACTTAACGGCTCCCCTACAAAAGAATTCAATATAAGCGAAGGCCTAAGACAAGGGATCTCTTTCCCCATTCCTCTTCATTCTTATTACTGAAGCTTTACACCAACTCCTCAAGAAAGAGAAAAATTTGGACCTATTTGAAAGAATCCACAATATAATCCGCCATGACTCAATCTCGCATCTTCAATTTTTGGATGACACGATACTGTGTTTGAGGCCGTCTAAAGAATATTTACTAAATATAAAATTGTTATTGAGGTGCTTCAAGGCAAGTGTCGACACCGTTTTTCGCCCGGGCGGGGAAAAACTTAGTACGACTTGAGGTTTTTATTTGAAAAGGCTTAGATTCAAAATTGGAT